AACATTAAAATAGAAATAGTTAAAGTTAAAAGTCATAGTGAAGACAAGTGAAATGATAGAGCAGATTTACTTGCAAAAAAAGGAGTGAATAGCAAAGAAATAATCTGTGTAGAAAAAATCAAATATAGTAGCATAAAGTACTATATAGAATAGGATAGCAAAAAGATTGACATACCAATAAGACTTCTTTGCAAGATAATTGTTAATGCTAAAATTGAAGCTAACTGGTGAGAAACAAAACCAATTAGATTACTAGAGCCAAAAACCGAACAAGCATTACACAACTGGTCAAGCTTCTGGAAAGAAATGAATAAAATTAGTGAAATATATTGTACATTAAGAAGACTTAGTACAAGAAGAACAACAGCAATCAAATGTATAATGGACAGTTTACCAACATTAGAAGAACTAAACAGAAGAAGACCAGAAGTATATACAACAGCAGATTGCCAAGTTTGTCAAGAGGGTAAGATAGAAACTTAAGCGCATATGACAAGCTGCAGCAAACAAAGAAGTCTGTGAAAACGGATCCAAAAAGTGTCAGCAGCAACAGCATGAAATGGTCTCAAAGAAAGAGAAAAAGACAAAATTCCACTACAAGTGCTATATATGACACTTTTTGGAAAAACAGAGGAAGAAGAAATTGAGAACAGAAAAGCACTAATAAAAGAGCTTACAACACTCAAAGTTAAAAAAAGAATTAAACAGTTGTTAAACAAAAATGCGACACAGAAATATATAAATATAGCAACTAGAACAGTGTAGAACACCTTTTACAATCAAGTATGAAGAGTTCGATGTGAAAGAGTACAAGAATGAGAAAAAAGCTCTAACATAACAAATAGAATGAAGAAAGGTGAAAGAGGAAAAAAAAGATTAAAATAGAAAGTAGAATATCGAAAGAAGATGAGAAAGAAAAGAAAACAGAAAAAGGAAAATGAATGAAGAATGAAGCATTGAAGACAATTGATATGCTTGTTACAGAAGAGAGAAGACCCTTCTGATATGGCTTTAAGTAGTTAGACGAGCAGTCTATCTCTAACTGAGGTAGTGCAGTAGGTTGCACTTAGGTACCATTAGGGTGGCCGAGTGATGCTAAACTTAAGTATTAGGAAATTTTATGTAATTATGTAGGTATATAGTTTCAAGAATCTTAATAAAGTATTAGCGTAACTGCTTAAAGTTTAAAAAAAAAAAAAAAAAAAAAAAATATTTGTTATATAAATCTAACTATATTTTCAAAAAAAAATTTTTATAACTAAATCAAATTGTTTAAATATTGTTAATTCATAGATTTGAATAAAGTATATTAAAGAATAAAATAAAATATAAATTTTTTGAAGCTTTAATTTATTGAATTAATTGTGAAGATTCCATAATATAATAAATTGTATCTTTTAATTTTAACAAAAACAAATAAAGTTAATTATCAGAATCATAAATTATCTTGTATATAGTATTCATCTAATTGGTAAAAAATATTTAACTATGACTGCAGCCATAATGATTATTACATTATCAGCACTTTAAGAAAGCTGTCCTGGATAATTTAGTTGTAAGAGTTCTTAAAATTTTACATTTATATAACAGTGTTTAAAAATCTTTAAATTTGTTTAAATTAGAATTAATGTTTATAATAAAATAAAATTTTAAAAAAGTAATAGTAAAGTCACTCAAGATATTTTTTTCTTATGCAAAATAAGTAATGTTTAAAAAATATTGAAATAAATAGTTTGTTTTAATCATCCTGACCATATAACATTATATTAAAATAAGACTCACTAATGGATAATAATTATATAAAAGTAACTCTATTTTAAGTAAATGATGCACATGACCAAAATTCAACATTTTATTTATAATCTTTAAGAGTAGAGGGCATGTAGATCATTTTTACATAGTAATTTATGATATATGTATAGTATATTAAAATTTTTATCTAAAATTGATATATGCTATTAATAAAACTTTTTTAATATTATAAATAAAATTATTTATCTATTATAGTAAAATTTTGAAATATTGTATTATTTTAAAAAAATATACTTGTATATATAATAAAGTTTACTTAATTGCTAATCTATCTATAATCGACACTGTTTGGTACTATTTCCATATTAGGAATTGGGGTAAATTTACTATTAAATTTACTATAAAGTGGAATCTGAGATCTTTGCTAAAATAAATATTTTTTTATTAATTAAATATTACTTTAGCGTCTAATAAAAGTTGTAGAGAATACTTTTGCGATTCTAATGATGGTAAAATCGTTAAAATTGACCTATTATATCACGAGATATCATCAAAAACCTTTTTTCGTTCATATAAAACTACTATAAACAACATTGTTATTTACATAGAAATTTTATATAATCGGAAAAAGTTTTTTGATGATATCTCGTGACATAGTGGGTCGATTTTAACGATTTTACCACCATTAGAATCGCAAAAGTATTCTCTACAACTTTTATTAGAAGCTAGAGTAATATTTAATTAATAAAAAATTACTTATATTAGCAAATATCTCAGATTCCACTTTATAGTAAATTTAATAGTAAATTTACCCCAATTCTTAATATGGAAACAGTGCCGATTATAGATGGATTAGCAATTAAGTGAGTTAAAATTTCTTAAGTAGTACAAAATATACAGAATTTGATTGGTTAATTTACATAAACCTATAAGTTAATTTTATTATATAATTTTATATCCTAGTCTTTAAATTTTCATATCTCAATAAGTTTTTAACCAATTTTAATAATTTTACTATCATTAAAATCAGAAAAACCTACTCTACAACTTTTACTTAATTATTAAAATTAATTTACTTAATATAATTTTTTATAAAATTAAATATAAAAAAAATTACTATTAAGTTTATATATAATTTTAAAGTACTGCCCCCTACCCTTAAAATTTCACAAAAATCTTCAAATGTTAGAAAATTTATAAAAATAATGCCCAGAAATAAAACTAAATATTCTTTTATTCGCCTAAATTTACATATAAAATTTAGGTGCGTCAATCATTTGATTCCATATTAAAAAATTTATACACATGATCTGTGTGACATCTTGATCTAATATGAATGCTTTACACGAAAAAAATTAACGTTCATTACGAATTGGTGACAAGCTATTGAATTGAAAATTATCTCAACAAAAATCATTAAATAATTCTGTTCACAAAATGTTTAATATATAAAATAAATAATCAGTTCACACTTTAGTCTATTCGTAAGAAATGTTACTCCCAGATGAACTGTTTTTTTCATTGTCAGCGTATTCACCCATATCGTCATCATCCTGCCCAATCGCGAATTTCTTTTTGCCCATTTTATTATGGGGATGTAACAATGGTGTCGCAAGATCATCCTCATTAATTCTATTACAGAAAAATTTAGCCATAACATAAACGAATGAAATACCCAAAATACGTGGTCATCCTACCTTCTAAATTCATAACCACCTTCTCCATCGAACCGAAGAAGCCACTCGTGATATTTAACTAGAATAAAATTAAATCAATATATATTAAACAGTAAAACGTCTAGAAAAAAAATATGAACATGCCATACACTAAGGTTTTGTAGTTACAAATAAAATTATGGTTAATCTCAATTCTTTTTTTTAATAAAGTCAAGGACAAGTAATCTAGTTTACTTACTAATGAGTGTCTGTGTGAAACTGTAAATAATGTAATTCCTAAGTCATGGGCGTGTGTATACATGATACCTTCAACATCAACACTCACAGCGCTCGTACATTCATCCAGGATCGCCTATTTTAGGATGTAAAAATGACATCAAATATTTCATATTAATTTGACTATTTAGCATATTTTTATACCCCTCAAAAAAAACTTACAAATTGAGGTCTATGATAAAATAGTCTTGCCATAGCCACTCTCTGAGAAACGAAATTATTAAATTTGACCAGCCGTAGCAACAAATAGGAATACCTTGTCTATTATATGTTGGATTTTACCTGCTTTTCGCCTCCAGATAAAACATCAGCCCAATCTCGGATCACATCCCATCCACCCTCTCGTGCAATTAAATTACTTAACTGAACGACATCAAGTAATTCCATTAACTTGCTATCATCGAATCCTTTTGACCGTGCCATAGTTTTAGTATCTGGATAAATGACCTATTTCGTTTTCCATTAAATAACAATATTTCATATATATAAATCAAATTTATACAAACTAGAAAGTCAAAAATACAACATACTTGATCACGGAAAGTTCCAAGTGCTAAGTATGGCTTTTGAGGTACGTAAAACAGCTTGGAAGCTGAAGGCTTGGTAACAGTTCCACCTATGAAATTAAAATAAGTATTATAGGCTAACATATAAATAAAGCAGAACAATTTGGTTAATTAACCCACCAAACAAGGGCCACAATTCGCCGAGAATACGGAATAAAGAGCTTTTTCCCTTATAAAAAAGGCAAAAAAAAAGTCATTATTATTAATATGTTGGATTAAATAAATTCGTTAAGAAAATTAATGCTTACACATCCATTGGGTCCAAAAATAAGGCAGTTCATTCCCGTTTCAACCTTGAATGACAATTCTTTAACCTATAGAAATGATATATACTATATTAAAAGCTGTAAACAGCAGATAAACAATAAATTAAACCATTATTTACCAATACATCTTGACTAGGGGTCACAATTGGGACTTTTTCAAAAATAATAACACCATCACGTGCTACGATTTTGCCGCCAAGATCATTTTGCGACACGACTGTGAAATGTATAAGTTACATTAATTGACTTCTTTTTTACATGTTTGTTGACACTTCTACATACCCTTACTAGTGTTAGCCTCATTTGCATCTTTGTTAACAATGGTGCGTTCGTACCTGCCATTATTAACATCCTCTAGTACATCGAAAAGTTCTGCCACACGAGCCTGTTCAAAAAATAAAAAGTTTCCTTTTAAACCCTACCAAATATATTTAAGAAATGAAAGCAACATCGATACGAGAGGTTATACATACAGTATATCCTGCAAACCTGGTCAAATCACGTCCAGCCAGAATCAACCTTCCAATAGCTTGGGACAGGTTCACTAGATAGCCGGCTGTATAAAACAAATATTACTTCAATAGATGTAATGAATTATTAAACATTCAAAACATATACTATGTTATTTATGACTCACAATTTCTCGAGTAGTCTTCCATAATCTTTGTTGAATCAGCGTCAAGTTTGCCCATAAATTCGGTAGCTATATGAGAGTGTGATTGGTTATTAAGCTAAATATAGCTCAAACATGAACAGGGATTTTATGTTGTTAGCTTACCATATCGCGGGTCAAATACAGGCCTTGCTAACAAGCTAGAGTGAATTCGGCGTGTAAAAATAAAATAAGAATCATAGAAAAAAAAATTAGAAATAGTAAATCACTTACTAATAAGCAGTCATTGTTGCACAATATTTAACTAGAACAGAATCAATGATTCCATTAATAAAACGGAGACGGTATATTTTTTTAATATGTCTCACAATTTTATCAAAACTTCCATCAACCACAATTTGTTCTCGTTCACCCCCGCCATAAAAAGCAATTTCTTCCGAATGAGCAATGATACGTGACTGGAAATATTTAATTAATTGAAATTAGGTAAGTGATATTCTTTTTAATATATAATAGGGTAAACACGAAGAGATTAAATTCCCACATGCGTAAATCGAAAATCACCCTCGAGCTTTTGTTCTATAGCAGTATCTTTCAAAACACAAACATGTCAGTTACATGACCAAATAAATAAATTACGGAATATAAACTTATGAATTAAATCGCACATTTGCCAAATGGAGGTGAAAGTGCACGAAGGAGAATACCCGAACCCACGAAATATGCAATCATATAAATCGGTGCTAAATGATAATAATAATAAGTTAGAAAAGTGTATAGATATTTAATTTTATCCTTGTTCAATGAAATATACCTTCTCTACCACTTTTTATGCATAAAGTAATTACACCAATATATTAATTCAATATATATGAAATATAACGTCAAGACATAATTTAAATATTATTACATACATGGCTTCGCCTAATTTGTAAGCAAACAGGACCATATCGACGAGTGGCTTGGCAAAATCCGAGTATAAATGACTTAGGTTCTCTGCAAATTTATCAATGTCCTAATAAAAAAAAAAAAAGATATAAATTGATAAATTTTATCTAATAAAAAAATAATCACAGATGCAAATGACTTTAGACACCCACCTGAGTCAATAATTGATCCGCATTTTGAATCCGATTATCGAGATTAGAAATCTTATAGAAAACAATATCTTTTAAGTAGTTCTTATTTGCGTGCTATATTGTATGCAATAAAGGATAATGATAGCATTCAAATTCAAAATAGTTAAAATATTTATATCTTAGACAAATATTGGTTTTATTCGATTAATTACCCTTGTAAGCCGAGATCTGAATGCCAAGGACAATGCACTTATAGTAAGCTTCAACGAGTTATTCACAATACTCATCGGCCACTAAGATAAAATGATAGAGACACAAGTATATTCAATTGCCATGGCTTATTAACAGTAATTCTGAATCACACCAGTGTCGATCAACACCGTATATATTTTAGAATAATTTATTATTAAAGTTCAGGATTAGAATTACATGTTAGAGTAAGATTAGAAGTTGAGTTTTTTGAGATGCTGTGAACTTTTGCTTAGAGCGTCAGGTATTAATTACTTAGCTAGTCTTTAGACATAGCAACTACGGTGGTAAACACCACTGGTGTGACTTCCATAATAAAAATGGATGTATATAAGATAAATACTCCACCATCATGAATCCAAATTCAACAACAGCTAATGCAATAAATGTTTTTCGATCACGCGATACAATTGCTTTAACAACGTGGCTATTTACAAAGAACAAAATAAAAAGATCTTTAGGAATACCATTCTAAAATTCAAGGAAAATAAAATGTATTTCTTACCCATTAAACCCAGAAAACCTGTTAGATAAAATTAGAAAGCAATAGTATTAATCTTACAAAACTTTGCCAAGTAAATCATCACAATACACGGACAAGAGTCCATATTATTAATAAATTTCTATCGCGAATAAAAGGTTGTCCAGATCAAAGTTTACCCACACTGAATTTAATAATTCCACTACTGTAAGGCCAATATCATTTCGAGAATTTCTTGATTATATTATCGATTCTTACCATATATCAAGCCAAGTACGAGCGATTAGAACCATCGCCAAACTAATTAGTAGCACTGTTTCCTTGGAAGCAAAACCTACAATGTGGAGTGTGTCAGCACGGAACATCAGCGATTTAAACGCATAAAAAAAAATTACTCCTACCTGGTATGCAAATTGGTAATAGCTTTCTAACCTGTGCGAAAAAGCGCGCGTCTACACCTATTTTCTTTGTCCGTCTGCCCCTCTCTGGATCAGATGAAACACTAGATGCCTTTTGAGCGGCTTTTCTTCTTTTTTCTTCCGCGACATATTGTTTAACAAGATAACCGACAACAATAATAAAAACGAATAATAAGGAACGTTTTTTTGATGATAATGGGAACGAAATATCGCGAGTAAGATTCTGACCCATCGTGATGAAAACGTACTAACTTCAGAACGTGAAAGGAGTGGTCGAATATCAAATGATAAAATGGGAAAAGAAAATATATAAAAAAATATATATAAAATTTCTTAAAGAAAAAAAATTATAGCACGTATGTACGTACGTACAGTACATACAGCAATTTCGATGCAAGATCTGTGCTTAAGTTACGTAATATAATTCCCGGCCACGCTATCCTTCTTCATAATCTAATTTTTGAAATGCAATAAACCTCTTTCAACTGAGTGGAAATTGTTTTGCAGGTCATTCCCAATTTTTAATTACAGTAATGGTAAATCGTAAAATCTAAAGATCATTAATTTAATGTGCTTAAAACAAGCATCACCGTACAGCGCAGACAAGTTATGCAAGAAAAAGTATTTCATATGAAAAATCACCAAGTATAGTATCTCGAGCACTAATTGTAATTTGGCCGTAGAATGAAATTATAGTAATATTTAACTTATATTTAACTTAAAAATATACTAAACAGATTTAGTGCTCGTAGTCAACCTAAATTTATCGACTCAAGATGATATTTAAAAATTAGCTTATGTGCCAAGTCGATTGTCCGACAGTAATGTTCCGATCTCGAAATTGAATTAAAACTGGTTGATTTCAATTAACTAAGGTAAAGTGGGGTATTATGACACTTGTGTTTTTGATGATTCGTCTTACTGAGACGAATCGAATGATACCAAATTCATTTTATTTAAAGCACAAGGACACATGATATTTGTTAATATTTTGGGTTCTGATTCCAACAAATTTGACCCGATGTAGATCTGATTTTGTCTCATTTCTCTGTGTATCTATTACTATGAACAATATACGGGTATGTCTCTTCCACTTATCGAGCAACCTACACAGCCTTCACGAGTACGGCTGGCTATTATAAATCTTTTTTCTTAAATACAATTATTAGCAGTTGTCCCGACTGACCACCCTTTCATCGCAAATCAAAAACTTGCAATTTGACAACTCACTCGCCCTACTATTACTTTGACTACCATCCCGGTAGACCAGTCCACTAAAATATCATAATGCTTATGGACAGGAAGGGTGGGTCGAAGTAACCAGAATGAAAGTCAGGTTCGCAGAAAAGACAGAATTATCTTGCACAATTTTCCCAAGCTTTACTAATATACTACGTACAATCCAATTACCCCATAATTACTCAATTACCTAATACTTACTAACATGGGTAATTAATTCTTTTTGGATCCGGACCAGCATATACCATATTTATATTATTAAATAAATATAATACGACAGGGTGAAACCTGAGTTGTGAAATAGTGAAATCCGCTATGATCATCACATGAGGATGAAAAACATAATAAAACGCGGATTTCACCCTAACCCGATCTACAAAGCGGATTTCATTATTTCACAACTCAGGTTTCACCCTGTTCTAATATAATAAAGCAAGGCTTGCATGGGAGGACGATAACCGGATCCAAGGCCATTCTTGGTTATCACCTTTACTTTGGGCCTTACTTCATAATATTGTATTATATAAATTTTTTTTTTTTGGTGTCAAGGTGAGGCCATTGTATTATATTACATTTCATGAAAATCTACTATTATAATGCGAAAGTCTAATTCTAATTTCTAATATTAATTTACTATTTACACCCATTACTACTGGAATATCTATATTTAATATTTGTCTTTTTGATGCATATTTTGTTTCTATTATATTTAACAGTTTTTATTTTATAATTAATCTCAATATAGTTTGCATCAATTAATGTACTTAATATATACTTGCTGGCAAAACCCGAACAAATCCCAAACCTCAAAAAAACAAATTGCTTTTATAAAAAATTAAATCAACAAAATAATTTTGATATTTTGTAAATATATTATATATAGTTATAAGAATATAAATTATTTGTTTAAATAAAGATTATTAATAAAGTTTTTGAGATATTAATTTGGGCTTGAGTTTGGAAGTTGGGCGCGGACAAATCCAAACTATAATAGTTTGGGATTTGGGTGGCAAGTATAACTTAATGTAGAAATGTAAAGTTTATCATTTATTTGTACAAATGATTGATACAATTTAAGATTATTAATATATTTTACCAATGTTTTTTTTTTTTGATGTTAAATATTTTATCAATGTTGTGTTCATGAATAAATGTCAAAATATATTAAAGTTTTAGTATGATTTTGATTGATTTTTTCTTTAAAAAAATCAATTAAATCTTTAATTGTATGAATATTATATATAGTTTTTTCTTTCAAAAACCATTTAAATAATATATCAAAATAATTTTTTTTTGATATACTAAAGATTCATAATGGAAAAAAAATTCATTAGTTCAGTTAACTAAAAATAAGGTTTACAATCTGATTAAAAACAAGTTTTTTTAAATCTTAACATAATAAAATAACTTAAAAGTTTTATAATGCAATTTATAACAAATGTTGAATTATAACTTAGAACATTAAAAAAATAATCAAAGTATTGTATATATAAATTTTGATTTGATTTATGATAATATATTACAAATCCAAGAATAGACATTTGTATTTTTTTAAAAAAAATATTTTCAGTTTCAATTAGATATTCTTAATTCTAATATATTTTTTTAAATTTATCACAATTATATAAGATAAAGTAATGATATATTTAATTAATGTTTATAAAAATAATTTTATTAGTTAAAATTATAATAATAGTAATAATAATTAATTATTTTTTATAAATTTTTAAAAATAGTAGTATTAATTTTTTTTTGATATTAAAAAATAGTAGTATTGGTTTTTTTTTTTTAATGTTAAGATGACCTCTTTGGTTTTTTGATTTTTTTTTGGTAATGTAATTCAATAAACCATTACAAAAAAGTATACAATTAGTTATATATCTAACTTTTCTATATTATCTATTTAAGGAGTCTACCTAAAGGTTTTTTACTAATTATTATATTTAACACTCCTGCTTGAATGTTCTACTTTAAATCTTCTAAATCTGCAATCTGTGTTAATATTACTGAGTCATACTCAGATATTCAGATTATTGTCTCAATTTTAGAATTATTTTATACTTAAAGTAAACCTTCTAAAGCTTTTTGTATTTATTTTTATAATTAACTTAATATTACTATAGCAAAACCAATACTTATAGTTAGAGTTATATTATTTAACTGCTATGTTTTTGTAAAATTCACTTGAACTCTAACATCTACTTTATAGTATAGCTTTAATATTTTAGTAGATCTTTGTCTTTTTATTAGACTTCTAATCCAGATAATCCATATAGAACTATGATCAATTTATTAATATATCAAATTAGCTTGATATTTTTTTCCTTTGGTTCATTCTAACAGCCTAGTTGATAATATTACTGAGCCTTTCTTAACTCAGAAAATCTTGCCTATCTGGGTATTATGACCTTGGTATTTATTTTTTTAAACTAGTCTTTATAGTAGTACTATTAAAAATTCAGCTACTTCTTTATTTAAATCTTTTCAAATAAATTTCTTATTACTTAATTTCAATAGATTTATATGATCACAAGAACTTATCTAATGTTTGTATTGTCTGATTATTAGTTTGCATTCTTTTATATAATACTATACTGTAATAAAATTTACTTTTTTTCTATATTAGTATATATTTATTTTTAGCTCTATATTATATTTTATATTTTTCTTAATATTTTTTACATAGTTTATAGATTATTTTATCAGTTTTAATTGCCTATTTAATAGGTTAATATTTATTTTATTAGTAGATTTCTTATAGTATTTTATTTTAACTAATAGTTATTGGAATA